TTTTTTTTTTTTAATTGAAATTATTTATGGCTTTGTCTGTAATTTTCAACTCTATTTGTATTCATCTGGTTTTGAAGGAAAACTTTATAAAAAAATTACTCTTTATCCGCCGAGGAGACAAAAAGGGATAAAGAAATTTGTTTCGCGAACCAAATTCTTTTATCTCGCTCGTGAATTTTTTATCTTAAAAATTCTTCGCGAAGTTTCAGAGAGCGCGGAGGTTGACGTTGCCGGACTACCGCGAGGCGGAACGAGGTACAGTAGCACGAGCAGCCTGAGCAGCGTGACTACGGCCAGTTCTCCGCAGGCGTTGCAGTCCACCAGCACGACGTCCAGCATCCACAATCAAGCCGCGACCGCGGGCGTCGTTTGCCAAACGCAGGATCTGAATCTTGCGCGCGGCTCCAGGGAAAGTCCACCCGCGAGCTCGACCCCCGGAACAGCGTCTGCGCCCAGTATTCCCGCCCCGACGCAGGTACCGCTTCTAATTCTTCCCCACTTTCCGAAGCGAAAGATGGCTATTTCGGCACCGTATCCAAGGCCAGGTCGCAAATATTGCGATTTTGCGTAATAAATCGGTGCCAGAGCAAACCACGTATTTGCAGAGCTGCTTTGCAGACCGATACTGGAAGGAGCTTTGAAAATGCGTGACAGAGACTTCTGCGATGATCTTGATCGGATCGTTCCTTTGTCCGAGACGTCTGCCGCGCGCATAAACATTATAAAACATCGTGCAAATATGCTGAGGAATAGATGGGATAGCGTGTTTATTGCGTGTTCGCAGGAGAAAGTCGCTACGTCGAATACCAACATCGTGCAGCAGCCGCATCAGCTACACCTTCCAATAAGCGCCCAAATGTTGAACACGAGTCAGGGTCTCGCGACCATCGTGCCGACTCTGCAGCACATCGGCCCGGGTCTCAGGGTGATACCGGGTGACACGCGGCAGCTCTTGGTCGCGCACACCGCCGGGAACAATGAATCCAGGCCGCTGACGCTGGCGGTGCAGAACTCTTCGGATCAGTCCAGGCCTCCGTTGATCGCTGTGCAATCGAATGCTGGAAACGAGCCAAGGCCTGTGGCGCTGGTCGTTCATTCGTCCACCGCCAACGACAACCGAGTGACATTTGTACACTCGAATTTGTCAAACAACGACAGGCCGCTGGCCTTGGCCGTGCAATCGTCCGCGAGTGACGTGAGGCCTGTCACTTTCGTGCACTCCGGGAACGAGGGTCGGCCGCTGGTCCTCGCCACGCATTCCCCCGCGCTCAACGTGTCCAGTGAGTGCTAGATATGATGATTGTGAATGTACATCCAGATTCTAGATGGTTAAGTTTCCTAAGAGCGTAGACGCGGAATTTTTTTTCCCCTCCCAAATGTGAGGATTTTACATCTGCTGAGAACTCTTATGAGGTAGACGGGACGAGCGGAATCTCTCGTGAAATGAAAATGCTTGATTATTACAGATGCGCAAACGAGAATAAGGACGGGAGACGCGCAGACTACGCATAAGATGGTCGGTGGCGTAACACTGGTCGGAGGTAATGGCTCGGAATTGGCAAGACTTCCCGGCGGTGCGGAACTGAATATACTCCCAGCCAATGGTGTGTATCGACGCAACATGCGTACCAACCTCTCCGTGGCTATTTGCGTTTGGAATGTCCGCTCCAAAAGTAAACGGCCGTGGCTGCGCAGCGCGGCGGGAAAAATAACGTCGCTCCTTGCTGCTTTATGATTGCAGGGTTAACTTTAAGTCACACGGGGGTGTCGCTTCAAGCCGCCGCGGGCAAACCAGGCTCAACAATGATGCAGAGCGCTCCGTCCACAGAAAGTATAGCCCACATCGTTGGTCAGCACGCACCTCTCTCCGGCTTGACGCCAATTGTCACACCGATGACCGTCGTCTCCCAGGGTAACCAGGTGACCGCTCACATTCTGGCGCCGTCTAGTCTCGCGGGGAAAATGATCACGACTCCTATCCTCAAGTCCGTTGGACAAATGCCGCTCGTGAATGCTCAGTATCTTAACACCACGACTTTGGTGAAGCCAGTTGTTGTGGTGAGTCAACCGTCGCCGTCGACATCGACGGCGTCTTCGACGACGGCCACCAATACACAACCCTCGTCGACTTCGAACTCGACCGTCTGACAAAATCGAGAGAAAGCGAAACTAATCTGATCGCGTTGGAACATCAGAATGTGGATTACTGCATTTCACGGTAGATCTTTATGTTCATCTAAAGTAAATCTACTTGGTTATGTGTTGGGATCGACGAGTCGCTTAGGTACAATAGGATTAGCGTCTCAAAATTACGGGCAGAGCAGTAATCATCGTGAAAGAATCTTATACGAAAGAAAAGTGATTTTGCATTTTAGAATTTCACTTGTGTCCCGTGAAGAAGCTGAATTCTCAGGAGTAAATCAACTACGAAAATGTGAGAAAAAGATCTTGCTCAACTCGTGCGGTATATGTTGTGCATTTTGATTTTTTTTATTAAAAAAAAAATTGTTTATGTCGCAAACTAAATATAAAATTTAAAGAGATAATTTTGTATAAGAATAGCTCAAGTATGAGAAAAAAGTATGTAAAAAATGAGAAGGTTTTCATATTGCAGCATGCATGTTGATAAATTAAAGCTCCTGGTCTTTATATGAAATTACGAAAGTTTAATATTATTCTTGAAATCATTATAATTAAATGTCGTAATTTGTTCACTGTTACAATTTAATTAACAAAAATTTTTCAATATGTTTTATGGATTTATACTATTACATACGAAATGTGTAAAGAAACTAATTTTTTATTTTAACGTGCGTGAGAAAGAATTTAAATTTCTGACATCATAATCTAATATAATTGCAATGAGAGAGTTGAGGGAGCTTTAATTTTTAGTTTGAACTCTTTGTTCACTGATTTTTGAGAGTAAATCTCGATTACCCGAAGGAACGTTATGAAATAATTCAATAATATGAGCGAATAATAAATTTTGACCTGATTGAACAGCGCGCTTGCACGTTGATTAACGGCATATTAATACGATATACAGAATGACGAAGTTTTAACAGCAATTCCGAATATGTTTTGGATAGCAATAAGAATTATTTGTTTCAGTAACTATTAAAAGTGATAATATTGCAGTTACAACATCGCTCAAAAGTTTAGAACACCTTTTTCACAAATACAATATTGAAAATATCATATAAACTCGTGAACGTACACATTTATTAAATTTAAAACAAAAAATTCTATTTACAATGTTAATAAAATTGCGAAAAGAAATTGCAATTAAAATTTCTTTTTATTAAAAGAATCGTATTTTCTTCGAGCTTTTAATACAATTTTGACATTTTGATGATCATTTTTCTGATATTTTCTTTTTAAGCTTGTATCACATGATCAAATTTAAGCATGCTTATTTTTCTGTGAAAAGTTTTGGTTTTATTTTCTAAATGTGTGACGTTCAGTAAATTTATTAAATTTAATAGTTTTTATTCTCCAAACTTTTGAGCGGCAACAACGGTAGCATATATATATATAATACGATTTATCTTAATTTGACAGATCATTTTCTTGTGATGTATGCTATTCAGATCATTGGTTTCGTCATATTTCCGATCAAGAGTTCTTTCGTTATGCTTACTTTAACATGCAATCTTTTTTAAAGCATTTTATATTATGAGGAACGCAAGTACTTTTCCCTGAAGGAAATGAAGAGAAGCTTTGACTTGCAATAGAACAAATTTTTCTTTTTGCATAACTTTTAAATTGCTTGACTGTTATATGAAACTGATAAATGAGCAGATTTCATCGTACTTTATTGCAATTGCAAAAGTATTGCAAAGAATCACAATGACGATACAATTCAAAGTGATGTAAAAATTAAAGTTTCTCCAGTTTTGCTAGGTTTGTAGCTATCTGTAACTGGTTGGATTTTGTAGTCGTCTAGCGATCGAAAATTCAAAAGTCGAGGATTATAATAAGTTTTGTGTCTTCAAATTTATCATACAGTGGCTGTGGAGAACAGATATTGAGACCTCCGATATGGAGGTCTGTCTGTTTAATTTCGACAATTCAATCGCAAGATGGAGCTTTTGTTATATTGGCAATAAAAGCGGAAATTATTTAGAAACAGTGACAAAAAATAATATAGGTTTATAATGATATACTTAAGTATTTATTCCTCTATATTTATTATATACATATATACATATTATATAAATCGCTATATTTTGCGTTGCCTCGCGGATGCATAATTGTAACGCGCTATGATCATATTAATTTCATCATGCTAATTTCGTCATACGGAAAGATTTAGAAATGCGTATTTTAAATCAGCGTCATTATCGTGATTTATCTCTATTCTCGCGAATACCTGCGCATTGTAACGTTCCATTCTTTTATACAAATGTTGTTTGCGTGATACAATTCTTGCCGTAAACATGTGCAATAGACCGCCCGCGCTTGTGGTGATTTGTGATGAAATATCCTAAAAAATAGAAAGAGTTATTCTTTGTACATCCAGTCTTTGTAATATAGTGGACAAATTTTTCAACTTCTACGTTCTTTGGCTATCAGAAAGAGAAAGCAAATCTCTACTTTTCATCTCTTTTCTACTTTTGTCGCTACGTCGGTGAGCTGTCTGTTGTGTAGGTTTATGATGCTTTTGCATAAAATAACCTGAAAGGTTCGAACAGAATAGAAGGGTATGATAATGCTCACAGCTATCTTCAGAGGAAGTTGAAATGATTGCACGCATTTTATTCAACTACTTATCGCACCACCTTTCATTGTTTTCTGTATGTATGTAAAATCTTCATTCGCTCGTATGGATTTATAATTTACGCTTCCGTTTGGCTCCTCGAAATTGGATCGTCAATAGTGATCTAATCTAGTAATGTAAAATTATCATGTGAGAATTGTTAATTCGCGTAATTTCACGAAATCAGTTTTCCGACATATGATTTTACGGGCGTTACGACGTTTCCTTTCGTAATATTTCCACATTCACGCGACTATTGACGATCTTTCTCCGAAGTCAGCCCTCATTTGTGTATATTAGTGTTACTATCCTTTGTATCAGCATACGAACGTATGTAATCTTGTTTTATATTCGTTAAATTATTTAATCGAATAGTATGATGAGCATTAGGAATTAAAGATGTGCATCTTTAATGAGCTACAAAATTCGCATCCGCTGGATGCAGGCTCACCAATTTAACGTCACTGTTTAACGCACGGCAAATCCTTGACAGAAAAGTGCGGCATAACAAAAGTCCTTCGTGCACACTGCAGCTTGTACAATTTGTATAAACTTTTTTTCCTCCAAATTTTTTTAGATTTGTTCGATATTTGCACTGCACGAACGAGAATCTCTCGATTTTTCATTTAAATTCGATATAATTTCGATGGGAAGGGAGAGATCGATGCGATTAAAGGCGTCAAATTAATCATACGTATTGCCGTATCGTTGCGAATCACGCTTCTTTCAACAGCCGGGGATGCAAAGAAAATTTCGATTTCTAATGTAGACGACCGAGCAAAAGTCCGATTCGAGGTGCTAGTCAATAGAGTTTCGTTACATTTCAACGCAAACGCTTTCACTCGACGAAACCTCAAGTCGTGCAATGGATGCGAACAAGCGTGCTGTATCGCCTTGTGGCACGTATGAAAGAAACAATTGTGAGTATGCGACTAGAATGGAGAAGTGTAGGGGGAAATAAAAAAAAAAAAAATGTGATCGGGCGGAACAAGTATCACAGGATATTTCGCGCCTGCTGCTCGATCACGACTGAAACCGCGGGAACTATTTAAGCGCTGTAATAGACTCATGTAAATAATAAAATTCTCGTCGGCGAGAGGTGATCGCCGAACGGGTCGGAAATGATTCGCGACGGAAGGAGACTAAAAATAGTAAAACACTAAGTACTAAGCGAGATAAATAATGTGTATATGAACAATGTGATATAAGTAATAAATAAAAGATTAATTAGCACCGTAGAGCGTTTAAGGAGAAAAAAATCAACCGTTAAATCGTTTACGGTAGATAGATGCTGATAGCTATTATTTGCTAAAAATATCTTAAAGAATGTCAAGAAATTTAATTGTATATAAGAAATACAAGAGGGGAAGGAAGAGTGAGAGCGAGGGTGAGAATGGGGTGGGAAGAGAAGAGGCGGAGAGAGAAGGAGGTTGTAAGATACTATATAAATATATTGAATACGAAAAGAGGGGGAAGTAAAGAAACGAGAGAAACGTTGAGATGGCGACAACTGTGCCCGTTCTAGCATGTGTCACACCGGTAGTAAAAAAAACCGCAGACATCCGTGTACATCCCGCATGGTAGAATCTGCGAATTGTAATTGAATGAATGGTGCGAGACGAGCGGGACGAAGGTGTATGCAAGAGGCTGAGAATGTTGTAAGAGTGTTGTTATTGTTGTAGTCTATGTCGAATTTTGTTATACGCCTCGACTGGTACGGCACATCCGACGAGTTCGTTGCGCGTAAAAAAAAAAAGAAACATGAAAGAGGAAGAGATGATGTGAATGAAAGGTGAGAAAGAGAGAGAAAGAGAGAGAAAGAGAAAAAGCGCCTCCGAAGAGGTTCCGATCTCTTCGCATGCGCGACATTTTTTAGTTAAAAAAAAGGAAAAAAACAAAAGTGTGCGAAGAAAAAATCCAATACAGTCTATTACAATAAAGATTAAAATGTGAGTGTGACGGTTGCCCAATCCTCCTTGTATTTGTCTAGTATCTGCGCCCGTGTTCGGAACTTTCGGCTCGACCTCCGCGTGTCCGCGTGCAACGACGATTATGCACTTCACGAATCTCGGAATGAATATTAGATAAACTTGTATATCTTGCAATGCGATCGACGGCTTCGATAAATCGCGCGATAATTGACGCAAATCAAAAAACTTGCCAACTCCGTCTCAAATACGTATTTCGAAAGATGAAGGATTGCGTTGCGCAAAACTGTTTTAAGGGAGTTTATAAATTTATAAATGTGGATTTATGTATGATTTGAAAAGACCAACTTCTCTCAATTCGATGTACAGCTTACTGGTGAACATCTTGTTTCGAAGAACAGAGTATTGTCGTCCGCGTGTGTCAAAGCGTCAAACTTTTGTAATACCGAGCCGAGAGTCGCGAGCGTTGGCGAGACCACTGTGCGCTTATATCATACATGTGAGATAAATAGCGATCAAAAGATTTCGACGAAAGAGATTCGTAGTCATAGCGATCTATACCTCCTCCTCGAATCGCGTAAACTTGGTGCGGAGAGCCGCGATCTTCTTCCAGACTGCGACTGCGATCGATTGCGCGCGTATCCGCATCCGAACTGTCCGCTCGCCAGTCGAGCAAGCGAATCGTCCTCGAAGGCAGATCGAAGGCCGTACGCGAGAATCAAAATCGGATCTGCCTTTCTAGCGTTTAGAGATTAAGCGTGTTCAGGTGCGAGGCCGATGCGAACGCTCAATCACATCGCTCCGTGTAGATTCTGTGTAAAATTCACAAAGATCTGAGACGCAAAAATTGTACGCAAAATTGCAGATTACTTCAAATTCGAGCGCAATCGATATTTCATGTTTGTAAAATCTTGTGTTCATTTTCCATATTCTGACTTCATCCGTGAGAAACTTTTTACAGAATCGAGCATTTTTCGGATATTTGATTTAGATTACACGAGTCGATGATATATTTATACAAATTTCTGAAAAATCATACGGAACATGCTTCGAATTTGAACGATGTGATAGCGCGTTCGACGTGCACTGCAGCTGGAACTGCGGATTTCTGGAACTAAAATTATTGTTTAGCTCTTATCCGATTCGTATGTAAGGTCGACTTTAAGATCTGTCTTGTCGTTGAGCTCATGAAATCGATCGGCGTGTCTTTCGCTTGTGGCTGACTTGCACACAATTAAACTGATGAATAGTTTAGCCGTTGTTTCCTTTAAACCTTAACCTTTAATATAGATACCTATATTTCAACTTTTAATAATCTCCGTATATGGAGTGAGAGAGAATTTAGTGAGCTGACTTTTATGATGTGTTAAAATTTTCAAATTTTTTTATTGAGTTTCAACAATTAGCAGTCCACAGCATCTTTTGAGGACTGTAGCGCAACGTACATACCGACACACATGTACACACGCAGCAGATTATTTTAAACGTGTAAGAAATCAAACAAATCGCTATTTTTAGTCTATTTATCGTTTATGAACATGATATACAACCTATACAAATTATGCACATATGTATTATTCATGCAATCGATTATAATTACTTATATTTGTACACTTTACTGTCGCGGTATATGCAAACATAAGGTTTAGGACACGGGCTTAGAGTACTTCCATACTATCTATGTCTACTCCAATGTCGAGAAATTCGTCAGAGTAATCTTGAACGTGTCTCTGTACCAGTGGATTTTCAGAATGGTCTGGATCATCCGTTACAGGACTGGGTGGTGGATTCGATACCGTGCGGTCGGAATCTACTGGCATTCTATCCATGCCTTCGCCACGTCGTAATCTTGCCTCCTCCGCGATTTCTCTGGTCGAAAGCTCCGCTCTTGTCAATAACGCGGGTAAATCTTTTTCGGATCCATCTGCAATTTCAAGAGAAAAATATATATATTCGCATCTCTTTCACAAAATTTAATGTCTTCTTTGGAATAGATACGACGCAACGAGTTACTTACTTTCAAAACTTCTCATCAGTTCCTGTGTTTTTTGTCTCCTCACGTCAATTTTCTTTCTTTGTTCGCTGCTTTCTTTTTGATCGTAATAAAATATCTCTCTTATTTTTTCTTGAGGGATATGTTTGTCATTTTTTACCAACCAGAAATATACTCCACCAGCTGTCCTTCTACGAGATCCATTCATTATTAACATTCCGCCATCTTCTTCAATTTTCTTCGTTTTTTGAAAGAAATCAATAGCTTTTTCTTTACCAATTATATCCACCACTCGTCCTATAACATACGTGTTATAAATACAGAGTTTATTATTAAATATATTTAGAATTAGAATTTTTACTATAATTAAAAATTAAGAAAAAATTTTTTTATTAATTTTTAATTTTTAGTACAACAGATATGTTGTTTTTTGCACATATACAGATATATATTTAAATCTATCAAGTTAAAATATATAAACTCATAAACAAAGTTACAATTCCATTTAAAGAGAAAACAAAGATAGTTATTTATATAAAATTCTAGAGTTTAATTTGAAAAAATTATTTTAAATTATCTATAATTTGAAAACATTAGTACACACTGATATTTTTCTTAATTGATATTAAAACTTTATTTTTAGAAATTAAATCTAAATTTACCAAAAAAATTTATCTTTGTAAAGAGAATATAATAAATTAGAATACAATAAAAGATATTCTGTATACCTTATCAAAAGAACAATTATACAAGCGCAAAAAATATATAAAACGAATAAATTTACTTATTAATTAATTTAATAATTTATAAATTCTTACTTATGAGAAGTTCTTTTTTCTCATTAAGTTTAGTTGTTATGTCAGTAGCAACATCTGCATCTGTTGATTCCATAGTTATGCTTAGGTCTGCTATTATCCTAACAGAACCTTTTGGACTGTCGTAATCCATAGAGTTTCTTCTTTTTCCTAATCTAAGTTTCAGGTTATGTCTGTCTGAATTCGTTCTTTTGTTCGTAAATCTGCATTCATCCTTTTCATCATCAGAACTATTTTGATTATGAGATTCTCTGCCATTATGTGCATATCGCAGAGTAAAGTTATAACTTTCAACACTACGTTCTTGATACAATTTCTGCGTAACACCACAAGATATTAAGTCTTCAGTTAAAACTTCTTCTTGCATTTGTGTACACCATACTTTGTATTTATCGTTCTTAGCTGTGCAGCCCTTTAATGAATTTTTAGGCTTTTTTAACTTGAGTTTAGGTCTTTTAATATTAGTAAGCGCAGAATCTGAGTCAGAATCACTTTCAGAATCTGCAGAATCATCAGATTCATCACTGTATCGCATTTTTGCATATGTATCTGTGGGAGGTGCTATGTGAGGTCTTTCCAGTATTTTATATGTTTCGAAGATATCACTCGGCTATATAAAAGAATAAAAATCATTGTTATATATTAGTATCTAAATAAATTTTTTATATACATAATATAATAATAATTAAGAATAATCTAAAATTGAGATTAAGATATAGATAATAAAGTATGCTTTGAACTGTTATTTAAAATTATACATTTAAATACAATTGAAGTACATTTCAACACAAGACAACATAGATATTTGTCTTCATTTGTACTGAATTATGTTCAAAATGTAATTTGTTGTCAAACATTTGCATATAATAATTACTGTATGTATTAATTTATGCATATAACAAAAGGCATACCTACAACTATTTAAAACTAAGATATGGAATTCCACAATCAAAAATGTATTGAATCAAATTATCCATAAAAATTTTCTTATAAATAACTTTTTATCATGCTGTTTGATATACCATTTTAGAGATATTTAACTTAAATATTAAGTTAATGTGCTTTTAATAAATGTTGTAGATCATCTATATATATATGTAAAAATAGAAATTAAGAAAATTGTCAATTGTGCTGCACATATGACTTTTCTTCATATTCTGTTGAAATATCTTGTGCTGCAGTGCACATGGTTACATGATAGAAATAATTAACTATTACAATACAAAGATAGATAAGTGAATTATTATGCACAATCACTTTCAAATCATTATTTAAAAAAATAAAATTAGTACAATGAATAAAGCGCATTTATACTAGGTTAGATTTAGGTTAGATTTCTAGCAAATGAAAATTCTCCGGTTTCTGACCTCGTCGTCGACGATCTCGCCATCTTCTAGCTCTAGTGGTTCCGCTTCCATATTCTATGGTACAGATGATATTTCTTTTTCCTTGTTTTATTTGTTTATAGAAACAACGATTGACAAAGTCGATACTCCAAATTATTATCATACAAAACCAGTCCTTTCCTCTCACGAGCGTCAATGTCAGCAGTGTTCAGCAATGAACTGTATACACTTGTTACATTTTATTTCTATTGCGCGATATGCATTTTTATTTCCTAAAAGCCACTTTTCATGAACAACTGCAAAGAATAGCTATGAATTCAAGTTGAGAAATTTAATTCACATTCACACTGCGTTCAATATTCGATGTGATGCGGGATATCGATACTCAAAATATATTTTTTTTAAATTCTGCAGAAAATTAATACAAAACTATAACAAGGTCATTAAACTTTATATATATTGGGATACGTCTTTTCATATAAATACATGACTACAGTCGATAAAGAGAATAGCAGATTAGCTGTGTCTCTTTCTTTCGTACGCGCATTGAAAATTTGACATATTGTGATAGGCGTGATGCGTCACATCTCACATATGTATAGTTCAATAATATTTTGGTAGTGTTATGAGTAGTGTCAGAAAATATTTTGTTTTGTTTACATATTTATCAATTACTTGAAACTTGGATTAGGAAATTAATTTTTGGAAACTGATTATTTCGTAACATGAATACCGCTAAAGATGATGACGATTTTTGGTACAGCAGCGAAACGCGATCGTTCTGTTTTGAAAACGAGGTTATTATTGAGAATGATGATCTTCAAAATACAAAACCTTTGCTCTCAATTATATCTGAGAAGACACTGTCATGCAGTATGTGAAAAATGCAAATATATTTACGTTGAAATCAATCAGTGTTAACAGGTGTATTTAAATACTGAATATTTAATTTTGTAGTTTTAACTGCGGATAAATTACGAAATGTACATTCAGAAACAGTTGTTGCCCAACCAGATATTACGTTGAAAAGGATATTACTCGGTCAGCCATACTCACTAGAACAATATAAGTCTTTTAGCAGTAAAACTGCTCTATTAGATGCTGCCATTTTAAGCGGAGATGGAAATGCCATTTTGATAGTAAGAACTTTTGTATAGCTAGAATCACAATTTTATTATATATATCAATCAATAATATGATAATATAAATTCTATTATTTGTTGCAGATCATTTTATTTCTTACAAAAACTCTGAAGCGATCTTTGGTACAAAGATTATTGATAGAGAGGCCGGATGCAGTAAATATATATATCCATTATCTTTTTATAAGACTACAAACGAGTGAAATAACTGATATTTTAACGTATGTAATTTCTATAACGTGTCTTTGATGAATTGTTATTAGTTTTCTCACATCTGACATTTTACAGAATGCTGGGCCACTCTTCAACTGCTGCTGTAAGTGTTATAGTACATATCATACAAGCTAAATTACAAATGTATTTTACTGGTGGTTTTTTTACAGATGAAGAATCTCTATATTATTATAAAAAACACCAGAGACCCAAGTAGGCTATTGCAAAAACTTCACAATTGTTACAAAGCACATTTTGCCATGCTACCTGATTGTAAGGAAGCTACGTTTCTAGAATCTTACATTAAGCTTTTAGGTATGTTTACAATCCTATACTTTGATATATGACAAATCATTGTTTATACATCTGTGAATTGTTTGTTAGAATGGCAAATGGCGATCAAACAGAAAAAGGGAAATGAAGAGTTCCCATTAAACTCTTCTGTTTTGGAATCTCTGTATTATGCACACAAGCACCACTGCAATACTCCAGATAATTTTGTCATTGTATCACCCACAACGCTCTCTCAAGACCATGACATTTCTCCTAAATTATACCAAAAAGCCGCTATACAAGTTAAAGCCTCCTGTAGCGGATGGGATGACATCGATCGTTTACTCTTAACAAAGGTAACATGTTTTGTGCTGTGAATCAATTTATCCCTTTAGAATTATATTATACTGTTTTATTTCTAGAAAATACTTGGTAATACAAAACTGCAAACGCATTTACATATAGAAGATATTTTGAAAGTATTGAATAAACACAATGCACCGTGCGCTATTTTAGAAAAGTATCTGAAGTTTGTTGATAATCTAGAAAAACGATTGGAATTGGCAAAGAAATTATCTTGCCATACGGTAGTAATTGATGTATGTATATATTTCTGTGACAATGATAAATTATGTAGAGGACGATTAAGTTATACATTTATAAATTTTATAGATATTTGTGCAACAAGGAGACCGTACAATGCTGATGGATTACAAAGCAAAATTGCAGCCTCAATCAGAAGAATATTTTTATGTTGAAAGTGCTTTACGTTTACCACATGTTAAATGGAAAAGTTAAGCTCATTTTAATTTATAATTATAATTATTATCCAACATTTATAATTATGAAAAATAATATATATTTGAATTATATGCAATTATTGTATTTATTGCATTAATAAGCACATATACATATACATTATTATATATACATGCACACATAGTGTATGATGTGAGAGATTAAAAGGAAAAGTGGATCAAGTCCATTTTTGTTAATTGTTAGAAAATTAGTTTTAAAATTAAAGTTGCTCTAATTGTGTACAACATGTACATATTTTTCGCAGATACTATAGTTTCTTTTAATTTTAACTGAAATATTTGCACTCACTTTAAAATTATTTAATAAAAACTGTTCAGTTTTTTCTAATTTATACATGGAATTTAAATAAAGGACTTGAGCCACTTTTCTTCTGAGCCCCTCACATAGATATATGATATTGTTGACAATATATATGCTTAATATATTCTTGATATTTAATAAGATAATTTTACAAGACAGTTTATCTTTTATTGACAATCTATCAGCTAGAATCTGTCGGAAAAAATTCTATTGCATATATTGAATGTTCTTTTATATTGAATGTGATCTCTGAATCCCTCATAATCGTACTATTGTGCAATGTGAACTTGACTTTAAGTCGATAAATTATTTCTATACACGTACTGTTTAGATTGTGGCCATATTCTTTTGTCGCGTTACTTTTCATCGGACAATTCAAGTAAATTTTCTCGCCTTTGTTCATCAAGATTTAACTCAATTCGATTTCTCGGTGCTGATTCTTTCGCGAAAATCGGAAATACGCTTCGCAGTACGTGGAGCGGCGCGCATAGCGTTAAGCCGGCCAATCGCGCTCGAGGAAACCGTTAGAAGTTTCCGTTGTGTGCGCGTTTAAACATTCTAGTGCACATTTGTCATCTGCGTGTGCGAACCACTCCCGTGTTCGGAGTAACCCGTGTTTTCGCGATCCTCGGTAAGTTATCGTACACATTTCACAATTATCCGGACGCTATTTCGAGGTAAATCCGGCGAGGCGAATTCACGAGCGAGTGGCGATTGCACGAGGCGACTCGTGGAGGGATACGTGTCCCGAAAGCGTGGCGCATTGATAAAGAATGCCGAATATGTCGACGGCGACAATTTCGTACCAAAAAAAGTGAATGGAATGTTGTCCTTCTCAAGATCTCCCCGAATTCGACTATTTAATTGATCTCGCTGATCGTCTTCCGAACCGCAAAGGCAAATTCAACATATCAAAGCTTTGGTTATTACTACAGATTTCACTTAACGATTTCATTTAGGTCGGATAACGCTAACCGGGCGAAAATAATACAATAATTGGGATTTTAATTGTTATCTTCCTTGTGCATATGACAAGCTGATGATAATCATAATTATTCTGATACTGCTTGCAGCATATTGTGTTGGAATTTCATGATTGCATGAGTATTGTAAGAATATTTGCTAATACTATATGTTTATTTCATTGCTGTGTTTTACGTTTTTCAGAGTTAAAATAAGCAGAGAACATGGCTGTTAACGTATACGCCACAAATATGACATCAGATAATCTCAGTCGCCATGACATGTTGGCCTGGGTAAATGATTGTCTCCAGTCTTCGTTTACTAAGATCGAGGAACTGTGCACCGGTGCGGTCTACTGTCAGTTTATGGATATGCTCTTTCCGGGCAGTGTACCACTGAAAAGGGTCAAATTCAAGACTAATCTGGAGCACGAGTACATACAGAATTTCAAAATTCTCCAAGGTGGTTTCAAAAAGATGAATGTGGATAAGGTAAGCAAACAACTTTATTACAGATATCTTTATCTTTATTTCTCTTTTGTCGCACGCTTCTCGTGATAATTCCTTAAAAAACAGCAGATACGTGGAAATATATCTGGTACGAAGTATAGAGGTGACATATTAAGATAAACATTAAAATAATTGATTTTAAAGTTGTAGTTTTATTACATATCTTTTTGTTTCTTTTCACTGAGAGTTATTGGGTGATTTAACGATGCTTAAAGAATACAATGAAAGTGGAAAGCTTGGTAGTGTAACATATATTTTGTATGTAATACAAAAAATATGTAACATGAAAGTATTTAGTTGTTAATATTAATAAACAGATAAATTATGATTACTAAATATAGCATGAGGAATATATTACACAAATATTAAGAGAGGTAAGCCGTCATGGATATGTGCAATATAAAAAACAATTTTACATCAAAGTCTTAGGTCACATAGTTCCACATTTAATAGTATAAATCTTGCGCAAGACAATGAAATTATAATGATATGGCCATGGAAATGGTTCAGGTAATACCAGTGGACAAGCTGATAAAAGGGCGCTTTCAAGACAACTTTGAGTTTCTACAGTGGTTCAAAAAGTTTTTTGATGCGAATTATGACGGTCGTGAGTACGATGCTTACGAAGCGCGCGGCTGCATACCGCTAGGTTCCGGTGTGGACGGGACACACAATTTGTCGAATCCACAGTTGGTACCTCTGCCGCCGCAATCAAAGCCGCCACAAATGCAACAAAGACACATACAACAACGTACCATCGCCCCGCGGCCGCAGCAGGGTACATTGTTGCAATCTCGATTTTACACAACCGCTTTTTGCATGCTGAACACATAATAGTATTCTGTAAAAGCGACATACACATATGCACATACACATGCGTGTGCACGCAGAGATGTACATTCCAAAAGTGTGTGTCTCAACTCTTGAAATGTCTTTGATTGCAATAGTATATTTTAATCGATTGTACCAATTTTGTATTATTTGAAGTCTATGCATTGAATACGTTAGCTGTTTTCATGATACACAAACATGTGTTTCACCTCACACGCACCCTTTCTTTTTTATACATTACGAACATTTGAGAATCTAATGAAATCGATCGAACGTAGGAAAAAGTGTACAGAAATATGTGACACATATTAATGTGAAGTCTTAATATGTGTGTATATATATATATGAAATAATTCTTCTATACATATATACAAAATAGGATGTTAGGTGTTGTCCGCCCTGCATTTGCATCATGATTTAGCATAGAACCAGAGAAAAGGTTCCCGGACTGTATATTTCTAACAATCTATAAAACAGATCTGTGCAAGCGATAAAGGATTAGAAAACAAGAAACTGTCCTTATAAACTTGTCACAATCGTTTCTGATCATGTATTATGATGTTAAAAGTAACATTTTCTAGCTGTGTTATGTTAAAAATGGTTAATTTTAACGTCAGACCTTATGTTTATTCATTTTGGAATAATTTGTTCATATTTATTTTATTTTATTTTGTTACGCATACACACACACTCTCCACTCCTCATTTGCAGATTGTGCCAATTGATAGGCTGGTGAAAGGCAGGTTCCAAGACAACTTTGAGTTTTTGCAATGGTTCAAGAAGTTCTTTGACGCAAACTACTCGGGAGCAGAGCCGTATGATGCGCTTGCTATGCGAGGAGGGGAGCCTATGGGTAGTGGCGGAAGTAATGCACCCCGTGGTGGTTCTAATGCGAAACCACGTATTTCTCCACGTGAGACAGTAAATTCGGCTAAAACTGCTCCTCGTACTACTGGTACATCATTTAATGACTTTCCTCTTTGATACAAAAAAAAAAGTTTGAGTCTTAACTATACATATGGAACAAAATTGAATCTAACGGAACAGTGTTTTTCTCAAATGTGACTTCAAATTTTGCATTAACACAGATTTTTACTAATCAATAATTGATAATGACTTGATTGATCATGATACGTTTTTAATGTTATGAAAATCTGATTGCAAACAAGTAGATATTAGAGAATGGATGCTGAATCAGTAGATTTAAAATTTCCTAAAAAAAATGTAGCTTGTCATTTGATTAAAGATATCTCGCGTAGAAATCAGTATTTGAACAAAAAAAAACCCTAATGGATTATTGCGTTGTGGCCTCGGTAACTTAAAATAAAGTTTGTCTTTAGGTATGAGAGGGACATCCATCTTCCAAGCAGATAATACAAACACTTTAGGTGAAATTCAATATATCATTTTGTTTTTAATTGTTATTCATCCTACTTAAGTTTTACTTCTTTCATTCTATATATATTTTAATATTGAAGTATATAAAGTATAAGATAAATTATGTGTTCCTAGTAATTTTGTATAATTTAGTACTTCTGTTAATACTGATTTATATCACAATATTAAAAAAAGAAAAGTAACTACTGAAACAAACAAAATTTTAATGAACACAGTTTTGAAAATTAATCACATATGAAATATTTTATCACTTTATATAGCATTCAACTAGTCTCTGGTCATTATTTCCTTATTTCACTATCAACACTTGTTAGTGCACTATATTGTAAACATGTAATATGAGAATTATTTTTCATTTCTTGCAATATTTGCCTTGCGGTTCTTTTTCGTTAATGCAAAGATGTTATTTTTTTTCTATATGAATTTCACTTTCGTAAAACTAACAGTTTACGACTGTGTGAAATACATATACTGTGCATGGTTTTAAACTAGATTTCTGCATGCATTGTTCTGCTTTCCGCAATGTGGCTTGTATGTCTATATATTTAGATAAATTTATTAAATCTTGACATAATTTACAATTGCGATACAAGTAAATTTATCTACTTTACATTAATAGAACTATAAATCACTTTATGTTTTAACATATTTTTAAAGAAACGTATTTTCTTCATCCAGTAAATAAAGTTCAACCGCCGTATCGTCCACCACCGAAAAACCCGGCAGTCGGCAACCGTGGTGATACCGGAAAAGTTGAAGAACTCACTGCACAGGTATGCTACATTTATTTTACTCAAATATGTTTACAAAAATCGATATCCTCTGTGCATATTTTCTAACGATTAATCAAACATTTCAGTTGGTCGAGTTGAAAATGTCAGTCGAAGGTTTGGAAAAGGAAAGAGATTTTTATTTTGGAAAATTACGTGACATAGAAGTCATGTGTCAAGATTGCGACAATAGCGGTGATCCTCCACCTATTGTACAGAAAATTTTAGAAGTCCTTTACGCAACAGAGGTAATACTGTTCCTTTTATTTATCTTATTGTAGTTCAAATAATTTCCAAGTTCATGTAAAAAGATATAATGTATTTATTACGGAAGTTTTTTGCTTTTCTTGCTTTTCATAAATTTGTTAAATTTATTATAAGACATGAGAGCTAGAATTATGATTTATTGAAGGATTAACAAAGGATATTATGCATCTTCCCTATATTTTTGTGAAACAAAATTTCAATTAAGACTCGTATAAGATGCCATAATTTTATTCCAGGATTTAAAAAAAGAAGAATCTGTGAGTGATACTATGTAAGCATCTTTTTTTTATTGTTTCGTAACAGGCGCGTTTTTGCTAATAAGGTAATGATATTTTAAATAAATGTTTGGGGCGTCTTAATCGTATTTGGTGATTAACTTTGGAAGTGTGAAGAGAAATCAGTAAAGTGACGTTGAAAGTACTTTTACACTTAATTTTGTGATTGTTTATCTAATATCTTAGTTTGAAGCTCCCTTCAATGTGCTATTATATTTTTGATTAATTGCACGATTATAAAATAATGCATATTACGAATATCAGTATTTTTAACAGCCCTCATGCCTTATATATATATATCATGTGTCTTCGTATAACAAAAATTTTAGAAATATATATTATAGTAATGGAATATATCACAGTATTAAGTATTTTTCGTGCGCGCGCGCGCGAAGCTCATTTATCGCAACTACTAAAATATTCAATTTTGATAAAGTCAACTTTTGTTCCTCAAAATCTGGATAAATTCCAAATTAATATTTTACTCGTGTTTGTTCTTTTGTCAAATTAACACTGGTATAGGTATTCACAATTCTTTTTTAAAACGATTAAAAATTATATATTTCTTTTTAAATGTTTTTTTTTTTCACTATGCTTATAATATATTTGTATTTCGTGATTACACAAGATTCGATATGATGAGCTTGCAGTTGTGAAAAGATTTCTCCTCTGACTTTTATAACTCTAATGTTCTTCTTTTCAGGACGGTTTTGCACCACCCGAAGAATTAGAAGGCGACGGGCTAGCGCCCGACGACGAGGAGGAATATTAACCTTTCTTATTTACGAATGTAATCGAAATGAACAGCAAATTATCCAAGTGCGTTTCAGATTATCATGCCTACGAACCAGTATGAGTATCCCTTGCATAATAATTAAGCTACTTTATATCAGCAAATTATTCAGCAGTTTTAGCAGACTCTGCATTCGCGTTTCGTTCATGAAATTGATCAAAATCATTAAAGTTCGCACGACATTAGGATAGACATAAATCAAGTAGTGCACTTGAATAACTTGTTCTTTAGCGGTCATTGAAAAAAAAGAAAGGAGTGGGGGAAAGGAGAGAGTGTTAAAGGAGGGAAAAATCAGTTGGTAATCTTTTACAAGTTATCACAATTCCTTGTAATATTACAATGATAGAATTCTCAAGATCAATGGCTCTCGATTTGCCGCAAATTTACGAATACCGAATATCTGTTAATGTTATTTTTGCATCCGCATACTGTTGCGTAGCGATTTACGTTAACTACACCTTTTTTTTAATGCGTGAGTGTTTTGTTTGTAAATGTATTAAGTTTGTACCGACAATGAGTCACGAAGTTTTTGTCAAACAGTTTTATCCTCCGAAAAATCTATCTGTAGTTATCTAAAACAAAAAAAGAAAGAAATGTTAGTCCTGCTGGGAAGCTTAACCGAGAACCGCTCAGTTTGTCCAACCCATTTTCCGTGCAATGTGCTAAGCGGCCGATGCACTCAGTGGTTTTGCGTGAGTTTTTACCGTCAGCGAATTAACTCTTACTCATCATCGTTAATAATTGAAATTTTATTCCGCTTGCCAACATTCTCTATCTGCATCTCACCGACACAGGAGCATCGAACATAATACATTCGTAGATACGCGAACACTGCACATACACAGTCCAAGTACTTTGGTTTAGTAAATTAGACAATGTATGCTTTGTGAAGGCAGATTGCGAGACAAAACGGTACGCTTATGCACCCGATTACTGAATTATGAAGATGTGAAAGACTAATTAAAGTTAGAATTCATATTAAAAGATTTGTCTATTAATGTTTCTCCCGTACAAATAGATTCTAGGAAAGAAACGGTCACAAAGAGAACGATTTGCAGCCTATTGACAGTCCCTCGAGATGTAAGAATGGCCTTAAAGCGCGGTGAATTTGAGATACAAGTGAAATACTCAGAATTATATTAGTAAGCGCGAAAGTGTTTCTGCAAATTGTGTCGTCGGAGCACTGTCGATTACGCTGCTATATCTCACTTTCATAAAGTAAAAAAAAAAAATCCGTAAAATTATACGTTTTGCGAGCAAAAGAGTGAGAGAGACGAAGAGCGAAAGAGTCACGGCGCGTAAAGCGTTTTGCAAATGCTTCTACGTGCTTCGGCATGCGTGTGTGCTTTCAATGTTATTGGTTTTGATGGTCAAAATCGATATTGATCGTAAATGTATAAGAATCGGATTAATTTTAAGCAAAAAGCGTCGATAATCGTGAACAATTGTCTGATTAGAATATAATTCGCATTATGTACTACATTTTTATATACTAAGTTCCAACAGGAAGAAGGGCATACAGTTTGGCTTGCGTTCTGTTCGTCGCTCTGTACGCGCGCATATGTGCTTCAAAATTTGAAATTTCAATGCCGATGTAATAAACGTTTAATAAAGTCGACCCGAATGCAGATTATTTTCTAATTCTGTAATTGTTTCGAAATATTTCACGCAGTCAAGTATCAAGTATCAAGTTTAATTATACGTGCATTTTGTTCTGTCCATGTGAATTTAGCGTAATAATATGTAAGACACACGAGATTATTTCCAAAAGGTTTAAAAATTTATCTTTGACTGTACGAAAGCAATGTTTATCAAAAGATTAAGTGCGTTTTATTTTAATAAAAATATATAATTCAGCGTCACGATATATTTAACATGAAAAAGAAATAATGTAATATTAAATTTCGTTCAACTTTATAAAAAAAAGTTTACAATATGTAATGCTTATTTGCAAAGGACAAAGTTGTTCTTCGAATCAATTAAATTGAACTCAAAACTAAAAGCTTAGTTTTTAAGTTAAAATTAAAATAAAGAATCATCTCTGTTTTAACTCTTGAATCGCATGAGAAATAATTGCAATACTTTTCTGTTGGCAAATTTGAATTGAAAATCTTATTTACCTAAAGTTTATGACAATCGAATATTTTCTCGTGTTAAATTATTCGAAATACTGTATGCGGTGTGCGATGCGTTCAATCTAGTACGAAAAAAAGCATCGTATGCCGTAAATTTCTCCTCTTTTGAGCACCGAATGCACGCCCTTAAGCGCCGCTCACACGAGTTTAATCGTTACGCCACTGTTTGCGAACCTCGAGAATTCTGCTTTCCCAAATCGCACTCAGCATCTCGCAGTCGCAGAGTCTCGGCTCTGTTCGCGTGTGATCGAGTGCTCGTCAAGAGTACAGCTTCCACTAGTGACCGGGAACGACGCCGTTCCAGAAACGTTGCCAGGACCACGTGGGGTTGCGGCGTAAATTACAGTCGACAACAGCTTTCGCTATCTCTTTTTCGTATCTTCAACGAGGTAACTGACGATATTAAATTAAACACCGCGATCAAAGATAGTTGAATAGATTTAAAAATTACGCTCCATCGAAGTTGTTTGTCAATAATTGACAACAATCGATAATAATCGTAATTAATTGAAAAGTTTTCTACTATTCTCTGCTTCGAAAGAAAGATATGTGTTTGGAAAAAGATATAAATGTGCTTTAAAAGAAATATATATGTGATATCATTGTATAATACATTAAAAGGATTGTATCGGTGAACTTTTCTTATAAATAAAAAATGGAATTACCGCGAAAAAAAATCGAACTCCTGTAGTGGATTCGTAAAAGATTAATTAGCATCGAATTCAACTGGAAATTTCTCTATTGACCAGTGTATATGATGCTATTTCAAAATCTGTCCTCTCCGATCAAAACATTGTGAATCCTCGGTGAAGTTGCCGAGCAAAATCGCTCGGTATGTTTAAGGAATGATGATGTTTTGCAATAAATATATAATTAATAAGGTGATTTATTAACAGATTAAGAGACATAATTGGTATTTGTGATTAATAACTTATACTTTTATTTTTTATTTAACAATTTTTCGAGTAATTACGATACGTTGATAAAAAAAAATCATTTTAAATAATATAATTATGAATAAAGTAGAATACATTAGGACGTATTTTATAATTCTCGCACTTGGCTGAATTATTTTGCGCAATTTTTTTCAACTGCAGATATGCAATTTATGAAAACACTTCGAAAAGTAACAGCGATTATACGTTGTCGCGCATAATTTATTACAATTTATCATGATCGTGTGTTGAAAACAGTTAAAATAATTTTTTTACTTACTGGTCTGATTAATTGCGCGAAAAAACGTATACATATTCAGAACTTGAATTTAACTCAGTCAGTTCTCTTGTCAGCTTTTTTTTTATATTACGTCGATAGGCCTGTCGAGATTTGACGGTCAACAGGACCTGCCACCGTATTAAACGAAAACATGATAAAATTCGAAAAGACAAACATCAAGGCTACGATTAAGAAAGTAACTGTAAATGAGTAACGCTCAAATTTTCTAGACAGCGCACAGACATAATTTATTATCGTTCAGTACGTGATGTAAAGGCTCGATTTTCTAAGATTTGCTTTTGAAATTAATTAAAAAGTATAAACAATTGAATATTAACGAGGCGCGATATATGCATGTTACGTCGTTTATTTCTCTAATTTGCAAACTTGCTCTTATTGTTAGATCAAGAATATTCGTTTCAATATTCGACCAGAGAGCAATCATATTGCTTATTATTGTTTGAAATTAAATTAATTAAAAAAAAAACAACGTTGAAAAATCTTTACTGTAGCAATCTATTGATAACGCTTCGTTTAAGTTTCCATCAAATCATATTGATTAATCAAAAAATCTTCTCAGTTTCTAATCAATCTATTAATTACGATTTTTTGATATCTTTATCAAGATATAAAATAAATAGAAATTATGGAATTAAATCTGTTAACATGTTTATTTTAGCTTCATCATGAAACGTATAGAATTTCCTGGAGCCTTCAGCATCAATCGCGACAAATTCCACTGTAATTTCTTATCAACATCGTAAAATTTTTCGGACGAGAGAAAAGCTATATGAAATTGTCAATATCTGTTAAGTTTTATGAATTTTGCGGGAAAATATTGATAAAGCAGCTTGAAAAAGTTGCTTGGTCAGCGAGTTCTTCTTACTTGCTTGTGTGTACGCAGAATGCTTCTAGTGAGAATTTTTAAGTTGCTCGCAAAGCGTGCTCGTGTTACAAAAATTGTCGTTGCGACTGTTTGTAAGTGCGATTGATCCTACAAAATCGAGGTGGACTAAATTGCATCAGTATGTCGCGGCTATTTAGCAAAAAGATATTCTACCTGGTTTTTTTTTTTACTAACAAGTCGGTATATGTGGAAGCGAATAAACAAAATTTTATTAAAATGCGCGTTATGCAATATGTATTTAAATATTGAAAAGATTAAACATATATTCTGAAACTACAAACATTAAAAATAACTCAAGTATGTGCATCTAAAAATTAAAAATTAATCCATTGTTCTTAAAATTTGCGTGAAAATTTCTTGCACGCGCGAGTTGCTGCTGTTTCGAAAGAAGTTGCGCGCATAGAGATTAATGCTTCGCGATAAAGTCCGTGAAACGTAGCTCCAGATATTCTTCAATGACACGCCAAATTCGCCTGCCAGTGATCGTGTGCATATTGTACATTGTGATGAGAATATATGTCGTAAATGGGGGTTTCTTTCGACGTTCCGGCCGGATAAAGCGAGGTCGCGCCTTCTCGATAGCGATTTATCGTCGCTTTCTTTATTGTTTATTTTGCATCTGAGTCATTAGAGCTTAACGCGAGATTTAATAAAAAGAAATTTTATTCATGTACACTGATCGTCAACAACCTGTTCGCGTATAAACATCCTAAATTCATCAGAAAATTCCGTAATTTGCGAGGAGAGTCTGCGAAATGCATTTTATGCGCTTATTTTCTTTGCGGATCTTAATATTAAACGTTCACTTATTTGGAAAAATTCTATTTTTGTAAATTTTTTTTATTATAAAAGAAGAAAATTTAGAATAGAAAAGAGCGTTTATGAGCAATTTCGGATGCATCGTTAAAATTAATGTGATAAAATGTAATAAAATGTGAATAATTGTGCTTTCGTGGTTCTAAAATTAATAACAGCTAATACTATTTTTTAAAATTTTCAGACACTAATTTATTTCCAGATAATTTATTTAAATATGGAGGACGAGATTTCATCATTCAAAGTAAGCATTCTAAAATCGCACCTGTACAAAAATATATTTTCGATGAATACAGCCGATCGAACGTATTGTTTATTCGTTTGTTAGCTAACCAACAAACACAACAAAAAAACAGAGAAGAGTAGCTACATTTGGATGGAATTAAAACTGCTGCAGTTGTTTGTGATACAATGCCGGCTGGGTCAAATCGTACTGAAAGTCCTGGAAAGATTTCTGTGGATCGTAGAAAAGTGCGCAGAATGGAGTTTGCCCGATGAAGAGATTCCTAGAGGTGCGATCTATAAATCGTAATTGTTGTGTTCTAATATATAATTCAAGTGTAACCGACAATCGAACATGCGTCAATCGATCTTTCAGACGAGAACGGGAAGATTCTGGAAAAGCTGGAACTCGTGAGACCCCTGCCGTGGATCTTGTTCTTGCCGAGCTTGATTATCCTTCGTATAATCAAAATATCACTGAACATAATCATTTTTTTATTGGGTTTCTCTCTAATCACGGCGAATGATTTGGTACGTTCACTTTCACGCGATTAGAGCTTAGTGTTAGCGAAGAAAGCAGATTTCATGCTACTTTGACCATTTCATCATTTAAAATTCTCCCGTTTTATCATATTCGCATTTAAATACTTCAATTCTCTCACATCGTTCACCACGTTAATCGCACGCCGAATATCTTTCACGCAGGTAAAATTCACGCAGAAATTACGGATGCACCTGATTGCTCTGAAGTGCAGCGAGATGGAAACGAGACACTACAAGGTGAGATCGCTTCCTTGTCGTGTTGAAATGCGTGGCGAAATGTCTTACGACGTCTTACTTTAGAAAGATAATAAAATTAGCACGATAATAGTCTCGATGGTGGGTGTAGGACAAGAGGTCGTCGATGAACGAGGCCAAGCAGGCCCTGATCAAGTCCATTCGTCTGACTCTGTCGAGTCTGTCCTGCCTGGATGCGTCCAAACCCTCCCTGTCACCACCGCCCACTAAAATTCACGTTAGTAGCGCCCTCGATCTCGATGCAGTAAGTAGAGCGCATCGTCATTGGTTTCTGCTACGACGTAAACGGCGTGCGCGTATCGGGATGCATAAAACAACACCCTTCCCGCGCGGAATGTTAAAAATAACAATTCACTTCCCTCACGAATTCAAGCAATATTTTCGATTTCGCATCTATTCTGTAATTGTTTTAATTAACACTGTCATTTGTATATCTTTGGTGTCTTGTATTTCTAAACCTTTATGTTTTCATAAGCTATCTGTGGGGATTTGTATACTTTTTTTTAATATATTATTAGAAATCTTGAGAAACGAGTGTCAGAGATTATCGTAAAGTGAAACGAAATGTATTCGATAAAACAGCGAAACATGTCTTTAAGGTAACAACGACATTGGAAGAAAACTCGGTGACTGAATCAATGGATTCGATAAAGCGGAGAGGCTCGATAAACTCGGCTGAGCAGGATAAAGAGAAACAAAAGACTCGGCAAGAAGAACTAAATCAATCGACCGATTCGAGTGATTCCGAATATGTTGTGAGTGCGCATATTAACTTTAGATAGATTTAATTAAAAATCTGGAACTCGTCCTTTCTTTCCTCTTTTATTCAGAAAATAATCACGTTATCTAAGGAAAGCAAAAAACATATTTACAATCAATTTACAGATTCGAAAAAAGCTCAATGACTTTGACCCTTCTTTTTCGATAGCGGCGATCGCTCACGATTCATTTATATTTTTAGTTCGGCGAACGCACACGTACGTGTGCTTTCGCACGATTTATCTTATTTTGCTATCATCTTTTCAGTGCTCCGTGGACCGAGACAATTCGAGCATAAATTCCGACTCCAACACCAGCGTGTCCTCGAATGAGCTTAACGATCTCATCCAAGATATTCAGAAGTGGCACGAAGAAGAAAGAAAGGCGGATCAAAACCAGCAGTTCATGGATGCCGAGCGAGCTTCCACGAACGTCGAACAAGCTGCCACGAACGTCGAACAAGCTGCCACGAATGCCGAAAAAGCTACCATGGACGCCGAACAAGCTACCGTGGACGTTGAGCAAGCTACCGTGGACGCCGAACAAGCTACCGTGGACGTTGAGCAAGCTGCCGTGGACGTCGAGCAAGCTGCCTCGGACACCGAACAAGCTGCCACGGACACCGAACAAACTGTCGCGGACGCCGAACAAGCTACTCCCGAGCAGGTAAAATAAATTGAAAAATAGCACAAAATTTTTTGCAAAATTAATCTCTTGACGAGCGGTTGGCTCGCGTAATTCGAACTTGCGCACTCAAGCGAGAGTAGGTGAATATATAAATTTCGTCATATTATACTTCCCACCTGTACTTTCAAAATTTATTAAAAGAGATACGAAGGTGATTGAAAATACCTGCACCTTCGTCTTGACATGATTTTCTGTGCGGTGCAAATCGAGCGACATCGAGAAGCGCTGCCGGCGCCTTTTTTAGGGACGACGCTCTTTTATACACACGCGGAAAAATTTTATATAAAAAATTACGGCAGTAGCCGCGGATCATAAAGGGAATTATGAGTTTAAATACTGGCCATTATGTGAAAAATATAGTGAAAATTTTTATAATTCCTTCATAATCCGCGACTACTGCCACACCGCAGTAATTTTTGATGAAAAATTTTCTCCGTGCAAAAACGAGGTTATTTAATGAATCTAGAAATCGTCGGCGAAAGAAAGCCGCGATAAGGTAGAGGAACGCTATTCGAGTTCGCGACGTATTGACTCGTCGGAGTATCATACGTCCGACAGATCCAGTCAGGAGGGCGATTTGATTTTCTACTCGCCGATCAGCTCGGACAGTGACACGCCGAAGGAGTGTTCGAAGTCGTCGGCGCCGATCGCCGAGAGTAAGTGATCTGTCTGTGTCACCTGCGGCTGCGGACTTTTCATAGGCTTATCACTTAACACTGTGAAATCAGCGTACTTTTCATACTTTTTATATTCGGCAGTGCGCTGGCTTCTCACTATCCGCCGTTCCTCTTGCATGTGCACTCGCTTCCATTCGCATCATCCGAGCATTACGCTTTGTGTCATGGGACGATTAACAGCTGAAGAGTGGTATTTTGTGTATGCAAATAAACCGATGTCAACGAAAAAAATTGTAAAAATACGAGAAGAGAGACATCTTGCGTCGTACAATATTTCCGTATCGATACATACGTATCGAAATTTGAATTAATTCTAATTGCCACTCCCGTTATCATTCACATTTTATATCATAGCATTCGCAACACGCTTTCTTTACGAAAAATGTCATAATTGTATTTTTGAAGAGTGTCTTCTTTTGCAATTATAATTTAAATGTATATTGTTTCACATAAATATAGTTAATCGTTAAATTTTCTAGAGCCAGTCTCCGGGGACAGCCTGAAGACAGCCGAGTTCATCAATGGCGAAATATGTTTCAGCTCAGCATCTACGGTTTCAGGTACACGATGTTCACTTTTTGCCGCTACGTCGCTGTGTCAGAATTATTTATATGTAATCGCTCCAACGAATTGATATTCTCTTTCGATAGAGTTGAAGTCACTCGAAAAGGCCAACAACGGCGCTGTAGTGGACAAGCGCGGTGCAAACGCGAGTAAGTGTCACAAGGGTAAACGCACGAGTCACAGCAACCGTAGGAAAAAATAATTAATCAATGTAAGGGAAACGAGGAAGAGAGGGCGAGAGTGAGAAGGAGAGAACAATAGCTTCATGAAGCTTCTCGTCGCGCGAGAAAGAGATTACAATCGTATCGGTGATACAATATCGCCCCGTATCGGACGTCATCGACAGTTACGCAATTGTCGTGGATCAAGTGCGATGTGGTGGAAGAGATTAAATGTCGCTGTTATATTTCAGCGCCACCGCTACAGTCGCTGAGATAAAACAAAGATATCAAGCTTATCGGTATATTTGAGTAAAATTTACGTTTTTCAAAAAATTTCCGAGTTATCGGAATTAGCCGACGAAATTTGCTTTTAACGTAGAGGTTTTGTCGGAGCAGAGCTGTTTAAAAAATTAGAATTTTCAGACGGTACATGGTTTCATATGATAGAGAAGATATGGTGGAGAAGACTATATCTGTTATACTCTAGCGCCTCCATTAGTCGCTGAGATAAAACAAAGATATCAAGCTTATCGATGTAGTAAAATCTAAGTAAAATTCTCTATCCGAGTGGAACTCTTAAAACATATTTTCTAGTTATCGGAATTATTCGATCTTTTAGCGAGAGATTCGATTGTCGGAACAGAGCTGTTTCAAAGATTACGATTTTCAGACGCTCTCCGCGTCGCGCTCGCTTCAGCGCAATATCGCGCCCCTTTGGATAATAATGTAATTATAAGTTTGTGCAATATGTAATCGGAGAAAAAAAAAACAGCGCAAGCGCTGTTTCTGAGTCTCTCGAAATCCACGGTTTAAGAGATCTACGCTCATCGTAAATCAATATAATTCGACGGCAGATAAGATTTGCGGAGGATTCTAGATGCAATTTAGCGACTAGAAAAATTTCCGAATAAAACCGGTTATTTTATTTCTCCGAATCTCTGGTTCAGCGATAAGCTGCACTTTCGATTCGGAAACTTTGTATTCAAGGCAATCACGGATATAAATTGTATCTAAATCGCGGCGGTGTGTTCAAAGTACACAGACATTATCATATTTAGACGAAACATCATGTTTACGACAATTATGTAACTGTGATTACAAACCGTGGATGCGCTGTTCTTTTTTCTCGATAATGCAAAACGCAACGTGTGCGAAAATGTGGCTAAAGTCTGCATGTTATTTTCGGAATGTTGTTGAACTGATTTTCTCGGGTACTCGCTTATTTGTATAATCGCATACACATGTATGCAGTAATGATTATTACGTCTTAAATTTGAGTCGGCGAGCAATACGATTCAAAAGTCAGTGAAAATTCCTTTTTAATTGACGCGCATAATAATATTCCACATAAAATGTAAGCCTTTTGTCTTTTGTAAAACGAGAAGATAGAAAATGATATAGAAAATGATTTACATTACATTTTCTGAATTTACTTCATTCTAAGCCAAATAAGATGAACAATTTGTTATTTTTAATAAATTATTAGTTAAAGCATTAATTAACTTTTTAATTAAATATTTTGTTTAAGTTATAATAATTATATATTGATTCTATGTCCTTTTTTTCGGCGATAAAAATATTAACAGCATTCATCATTTATTCACGCGATACACAGAAAAATAAAACTATCATCGTCACGTTCATTCACATACATTGTCTGTAGTCTGTTCATTTTTATTCAATCATTAAAATATAAAATACGCACAAATCATCGACAACAATGTAATTCATATTTTCATTTTTTTTTTAAATGTACAATAATGTTAAGATTATTTTATATTGCCATCGCTAAATGTAAATTGTGTTAAGATCATACGATAATAAATTATTTGATCATACAAATGCTCCTTTTCATTGCAGCGAACGTTTCGTTATTAAAACAACCGAGAGTCACAATATCGTCGTACATCCGCAACGATAAAGCGGCGTAAATCAATACCGGGCAAAATAATTGATAGCTCGTTCCGACTTGCGTTATCTTTCGAGGCGCAAATTTTTGCGTCGCTCAAAAATTATTTCAATCTTTCGCACACCACGATTACAGCAATTTCTTCCCTACCTTGCCATAAAATTATTAGAGATACCGAGCACGTTCTTTTTTTTCTTTCTTTTTTTTCTGCGACGCGCAACACAACTCGCCCTTATCGCTCTAAAATTGCGATAAGCAGAGATTAGACCCATATGTCATAGATTTGCCGGATAGACAGATAAACGGTGTCACGGTGCCCTGAAACTTTAATGAAGAAGACGATAGTGCACTCGCATTTACGAATTACATCATTGTGAACTGCATTGCTGATCTCGCGACCGATAATAACGACTATTAATAATAACGCCGCTCAACATTGTCAACTATTCGTCATTAAGCGCGCGGACAAAGTTGATGTTTTTCTCAGCGATAATTGCAACAGCTGAAATCGCGGCGCGAAGATTGGCTTATCGGCTGCATACCGATGCATAAATAAATACAGATAGAGAGGGAAAAGTTGTTATTTTATCAAGTGCACTCGTGACAGGCTCTGTTCGGTAGCACTTGTCGGTTAAGCCGCGGATACTTCATCTCGAGGGTCTCTCATCATTAACAAATTGTAAGGTACAACTGTCGAGTAGCAACAATTGGTTCGATAATCTCACATGCTGTTGCTGTCTCTCAACTTTCGATTCAATTGTCTCATGCCACTGTTATCTGAAATGCCTTCGTTATTTTTTTTTGTTACATATAATTTTTGCATTACACTGAGATGGTACTCAATACGATTATTCAATATCATGATTATCCATGTGCCGATATTGTACCGATATTGAACACGCACTGGATAAAAGACTGATTGTGACGGCGCGCGATCCAAGCAATATAATTACGAAATAATATCGATAACGATGGTAAAAATACGCCCGTGTTCGCTGTAATTGCGCTGCGTCAGTTTAGTCTAATAGAAAATCCTAACATGGCAAATCGCTATCTATTTGTCCGATATCTTGAAATTATTTATACGTGACAGATACAACAATCTGTAATTTAGTTCTTTTTTTACTAGCTCGCAGCTAGAGATGCGAACAGCAGATAAAGATTTTCCGCCTTCTAATCTCTCCTTGTAAGTAACACGTGCATTTTGGAGATATATTGGATTGTGTAATAAGTGATTTCGTATTTTGCAATAGACTGTGTATTGCTTTCTACGCAGAACATTTCTACGCACGACGGAACTCGACAAATATTTAATTCACGTGTTGATCAAACGTTCCTTGTCCGACAAAAAAATCCGAAATTATTACGCAATCCAATACACTTCACATCTATGTATAATATATGTATGAAAATTGTGTTTTAAATAATATATATTATATAGATCAAATAAAAAGAATTATCTTAATTCAGAAAGCAATTGCATCGTTTAATTTATTTATAAGACAAAAGCCCTATAGATTATATACACGAAAGAAGTATTGATTTTTCGAAATAATTTAAATATATACAGATAAACAGTTATGCAAATATACGTTTTTTCCAAGTAGATCGAAAAGACTGGATAATATTTCGGGTTGACGTTACACGATTTGCGGTAGTCTAATCTATATGTAGGTGTTATCACTTAGATAACGTTGCCTGAGCTCCCCTATCAGGTAGCTATATTTTTGATAATATATAGGTGATCGATATATCGCATAGTTCTCAGTAAAGCGGCTATCACGTTTCAGAGTAATCCGGTGTTCTATCCTATAATAATCTTTATAAAATTTCACAGTGCCGCATTGTTTCTCCAATAAACATTTGTCGAGCAAACATAACGACTTGACATTTACATTACAAAAGAAGTGAGAATTCCGAAACTAAATTTTCAAAAATTAGTGGTGATTACGTCATTTTTCGCTCTCGGTTGCATTTATCGTACAGTCAATTTTTCCGTGAAGATAAGTGAATTAATCTGCCGCGTCTATAGATTTCATCATTTCTTTCTCGCGTTTAAATTCATCGGCAAGCTCTTGTCGCGAAGTCATTATTAAAAAAAAAAAAAAAAAAAATATGATACATCAACACAAAACACGTGTAGGATTTTCGAGAAATGTGAGCGTTCCACCTGAGTTTTTACTAGCGGAAAAAGAAGTTATGCATTGAAGCTGCGTAATCGTGAAGGAATTCTTCTGACTGACTCTTCTATGAGTCCGCTGACGGCAATACGTTTTTGACTCTGCGGGATATTTTTCAACTTTTTACCGGACACGCAAAGACTAACACGTTTATTATCGCGACAGTGATAGAAGGTGAAAAAAATGGCTTCCGGATACGACGATTGTTATGACAATTCCTGGCATTTAATACCGCCGGATTACGTCAGCAACGAGGAGGATTACAGGTAAAAAGTTCAATGGTGCAAAAAATGTGATTTATTGCAAGTATTTATACTTGAAAAAATAGCCATTTTTCAGTAACTGACTTATTTTTTTATAGATATTATTAAATAAAAACTCAGAATCGGACAAAAATGTTCAGTGCCAAATACAAAATTGTTTTAAGCCAAGTTAATTGTAAAATAATTATAAAATGTCACTTTTTTAAAGAAAAAATAAATTTTACAAAGAAAAATTTATAACTAAATTATAAATATTATCAAATTTAATATTATTATAACAAATAATCCCGCGTAAGGCATAATTATCGAAAGTGCAATTTATCGTACAGAGAAGATAAGCAGATTTCGTTATCGCAAATGCTGATTTAATCTGTTTTTCATTAAAAAAGAAAAGAAAAAGATTGATCGCGCCGTTAATCTTAAAATATGCTAAAAGAATTACCTGATCTTTGCGCTTTCACGCGGGCGATTAACATATCCGATTAAGCAGATAGCACCGGAAACCGGAAACGAGCGTTTAAGAGCAGTCACGCATATCGGTTAGGCGAATCCTTCGGCGTAGAGTGGTACGCCTTGTTACACACCGGGACATACACGAGAAGCGAAAGGGCCGTGCGGTATGCCGACACCTGTTGGTTTCCATCATAAATTTCGGATTAATCGTATTCGCTACAATACGATTCCGCTGTTTCCCCGTTCGTTCGCTGCACCTGCAAGATCACAAGTCGTCGAATCAGAACGGGCGATTATTTAATGTATTACACCTCGCTGATTCTTATTCTTATTTTTCTTAATCTTTATTTAAATCTTTAAATCTTACAATTTATCTTTTATTAATCTTAATTCTTAATTTCTATGTGTACGTAACGCGTCGTAAATATTTTACTTTCTTTCAAGTGATTACATTTGATCATAAGTCATGCGAAATTAAGAAACAAAAAATATCATTTTTAATACGTTAAATATACAAACCAAGTGTTTGAAGAAAAGTTATACATAAATATATAATAATTTCTGTACGATATTAACTAATAATTAGATTTGATGTAATTAATGGTTTTATTGCATTAGTGATTTAATTCATTTTTTTAAACTTAGCCCAATTAATTAAATAGAATAATTAGTCTTAAAAAAAGTTTAATAAAAATTAATTAAAAAGTTTATAGTGTTTAATATCTTTTTTCCATTTTTTGAACAAAAAAAACAAATTAGACTGTTGTGCTGTAGTTTCCAATTTCTAATAACCTCATGTTCTTCAAACCATAAATATATCCCTTCACTTATTGCTTTCACCAACTTCCTTCAATTTACACACCCAATATCATGAACGAGAAAAATACAAAGTTCTCAAATGTGCATCATTCGGGGTAAATATTAAAAAAGCAGATTTTCCACCGTTTATACCTATGTGAACCGTTAGCAAGGATTTAGCCGTGAAAAAGCCGCTTGAAATAGCATCTTGAACCGTTCGTGAAGAATAGCTGGTGGTCTCTAACGAGCTGTGTCGAGTCTGAGTCACGTTTGAAAACCATATATGGTTTTCGAAAGTGACCCGAAGAGAGGTAGAGGGCTGTTTTACAGAAAAGGGCTGTTTTACAGAAGAGGACTATCCTCTTCTCTTGACAGGCTCCTTGAATTAGGACACTAAAAAGTTTGTCAGCCCACCCGTCGCCCGACCTGCCTTGCGCCGCGTGTTACGTTCATTCATACCTCACGGGGCCCGCTGACCCTTTTGTGCCGACTTCATGAATGAACGTGAGGCTCCTTTCTTCCTTCAAATCCTTCGCCAAATTCCGTCGACTTTTTTTCAGGTGGTTTCGATGAGAGAGTTATTTTCTGCAGCACTCTCTTTCTCCCTTTGAAAGAGTACAACTTTGACGTCGATAATGCCAATTTAATTTATTAGTAGAATTTCATAGTTTAGTAGAAAAATTATTTTAAAAAATTGTAAAACATACGAACATTAAAAAAATATAAAACACGAGAAAAATCTATAATGTGAGAATGCAATTTAAAAAAATGGATTTTTACATCATTATTACTACATTTTCGAAGATTATCCTATTTAAACATACGTGTATAAAATCAAATTTGCCAATTCCATGTAAAATATCATATTTTAATATAGAAAAACAAATTTCTTTGTAAGATTTATGAGTATGTTACGGACAATATTCCCCTTAAATCTGAAAACAATATTACAAAATATTTTGAAACTTAATGAGAGACGAATTCTGATATGTTTATTTGTCGTTAGAAAATTACATTGTGTCAATTTTCTTCGCCATTCTAAAGTGAAGCACAAGTATTAATAACTGTCTAAACACTAAATAAGATTTCACAAAAGAAGAACTCTTATTCAGCCACTATTTAACATGAAAAATGGACATCGATCATCATATTTCTTTACGGACAAACTTAACAAGTCATCTAGAGCTTGTTGCACGCACGTAAAATGAGTCTCTAATGATCTCTAATTAGCTTTAGATCGACAGATGCAGAAGAATGTAAGATTTAATCTTTGAGAGACTCGACTAATCTTTCTCGAAATTTACCAAGTTTTAATCGATTCATATACTTGAGTTTTTTTGCTTATCTTCTTTTGTAAAACGGAATTTTTTTAAAATATGCACCGGCACGTACTATAATAATAAATATGGCTTACTGACAAGGTCTCTTGTTTTTTTTTTTGGCTGGTGGTAGGTATTTATATTGTGTAAATGACAGAATATATCCGGGTCATTTATAGATAGTCTCATTCATTGTAATGCATTTCCGGCGCGTTTCTAAATTTCAGGTAGATTTCTGTGAGGTCTCTAAGGTGTCAAGTGGTAGTCTAGAAGTGGTAGTACTAGAAAAACGAATAATTCAGAAGATTTTCGACACAACTTTTCGACTATACCTGTAAATTTTTCTAGTGATTATTTCTGGAAATTCCGGATTGTAAAGAATATCATCTGACGAGCTAACTGTAACGTTGTAAAAAATATCGTTTTATTTTTTATGTAATACACAATTGCTTTTAAAAATTATAATTTGTTATTATAATTACACTCTACTTTTTTAAAATAAATAATATTAAAATATTGTATACATAGAGATAAAAATTAAATGATTAAGACTGGAAATAAATATGTACCAAGTATTTTTTATAATGATGAATATTAATCAGATCAGATATTTGAGTAAAGTTTTCTATTTAACTAAGAATCAGAATCACTCAAAATCTTTCCGACAACTATAAGATATTATTAATTACATTAATCACATTCGCAAACTTTATTTGCGCAATATGTAGCGCAAATTTACTTTAACTCTATTTCTAAAAAAATTCGTGAAGTAGTTTTGAATGTTCTGGTAATCTCGACTTCGCCGAGTTGTTAATTCAAATATTGAATTTGAGGTATGATTATCGTAGTATTTAACGTACCAGCAAAGCGCCAAAGAAGGCTTTTCCCGTTAATTCGACCGTTTTGCTACTCTGCTGAATTTACTTTTCAGATTTCCGCAACCTTACATTCTTCTCAGAATCATTATAGTTTTTAAGAAAATACAAACCGTTAAATTTGTGAGTTACTTAGAAATAGAAAGAGAGCACAACCAAGAAAAGAAAAGAATTGCGAAAGTAACTTCTAACCTAATAGCGTAATTATGGGAATAGCAACAGTAAAATGGGCAGCTCTCTACCTATTTTATATGGTTCCCTACCTATTGTGCAAACATTTTATCCCGCAGTCAGCAATCCTTGAAAATGCAATCTATTTTACGGTGGACACATTTTGACTTTAAAGAAAAATGCTTGTCATCAAAGCGGCGGTATAACGGTATAACGGTATAACTCAGCCTCCATCGGTATCTTTGTCTTTTTGAGTAAAATTATTCTAATTTTACTTTTAGAGTTTGAAAGAAGTGTACATTAATCATAAACTTAAGATTCCAACTAATATAATAATTTATATTCTTCTGCTTCAGAATTAAAATTTATGTTACAAATAGCTAGAAAATTAACATCATCCAGCATTTTCAAATCTCGAGTTAAATGCTCGTCGCATCGCTCGCGGTAAAATCGCAAGTCTCCGCGCGAGCGCCGAGTAACGTTATTAAACCAGAAAGCTTAGGAAGACACCACTCGATCATTGGAGGGTTGCAATAATTCGCGGCACGATCCCCTCAACTGGTTCCATGGCGGCGCAGAGAGCGAGCGAGCGACGGCTGCACGGCGAAGCAACGGCTGGGAGGGCAGTAAAACAATGAGACGCAGACAAATTGGGTTGCGTGCTTGAAACAAGTTGGCACAGCTATCGCCAAACAGTCGTGGGAGCACGGCAAATGTTGCTCGATTGCCGGAGAGAGCTCGAGACTCCTCCATTTTTTCCCGCCGATGCTCGGAACTTCCGGGACGAGGCGCGAGGGGAGGAAAGACCGAGGAAAAACGAGGAACGTCTCGTGGTGGGTCGCCTTCTCGTGTTGAACACGATTCTAACCGAGTTAGATGCACCCCGGCGGAGAACTCTAATGCACTGTATCGTCTGAATCCTTAACTGCCTTTACAAATGATCGTATAACGATATTGCGATATTATAATAGTATGAATTTTGTCGAATACACGCAAAGATCGATTACGTGATATAGTAGTGCGCTGCATAAAAACAGCTCTCAATAATTGAAAATGACAATGTCTTTTTAAAGCATTTCGAATATTTTGTTACAAATAAATTACTAACGTAATACTATATCTTCTATTTTAATAAATTTATTGCATGTTAAGATCTTTTCATTTGTAGAACAATTTTTGAAAAATAATTATCAGTGTGTTAGAAGAATTCAGATATAAAGCGAGTAAACGTGGACCATTAGAAAATAATGTGTCTTCTTCGTTTCCGGTGGACGTTAGGTTTTATTTCCAGAGATAAATTGGAAGGTCAAGACGGCCATGAGAAAATGAGGAAAGTCAAGTCCCACCCTCTTCCGCACTTTTTGACTTTCTGTGTGGAGGAGCCGCG